CCTCGTGGGGGTGTCTGACGGGCTCGGCGTCCCTCCTCGTTCTCACTTCTCCCCTTTCTCTCCTCCACTGAGCCCTTAAAATGTGCCTGTTACCCACATAACAAGGAGGAGGCCTCAGACGCACAGCACTGGGCGTGGGCCACAGGGGGTGCCCGCTTAGGCGGTGACTCCCCAAGATGCAACTACTCCACCCTCCAGCCCTCCACGGCCATGGAGCTGAGGCTGGACAGCAGGTGGGCGAGGCAGCAGTAGAAGACCCACAGACAATGGGGAATACTTATCGTGGCACAGTGGTTAAGGTGCTGGACTCCCACATGGCCTACTGTGGTTTGATTCCCAGACCCGGCAGCTTGAAACTCATGCCAGCCGCGTGTGCATATGTGTCCCAAATCCCAAGAGGAGAATAGAGGAGAAAGGATTGTGACATGGCCATCCCCTCCATGGGGTGATTTCTGTCTCTCTGTCTCTCTGGCAAGCACATGTGCTCCATAGCAAAACTCTCCAAAAATAGCTAGCAGAAGCCCCCGTATGAGGTAAGGCATGAACTAGCCTTGGTTCAGGACCTCCACCACCCCTCCCGTCCCCACCAGCATGATTGAAAATCACTCAGGTTTGTCTATGCGCCTCAGTACTTCAGGGGCTGATGACCATGGTCCCTAGTCTGAGTTCCTATTTCACCTTTGGGAGTTCTCCTTCCCCAAGATGACTAAAGGTAGGAATGTCTATCCCTACCTGTGAATGTCACTCCTACCTCTGGTCCCCAATGGCTGCCCACCATAGAACAATGACAGCAGAACCGCTGCATAGTTGAGTGACCGAACCTCCAGTTAACACCTAGAAGGGGACACAACGGGCCAGTCCAGGTGGAGCCCCGAGGAGCTGTCCTCCCACCTGTTGAATGGCTTCACGGCCGCTCGGAAATGCAGTGCTCTGCTCAAGGGCGTCCTAGCTCCACACAGGGCCGGGGCTCTGCTCAAGGGCGTCCCAGCTCCACACAGGGCCGGGGCTGTTTCTCCAGATCCCTCCAACAACAGGGCTTCACAGACCAACGCTAAGCTGAATGAGGCAGTTCTCACATTACAGAGAGAGAAGAAAAATGCTAAAACACAGACATATCATTTATGAAACACTCTAGCAATTTACTATAATGATGTTATTATAACGGAAGGCCCAACTCCCAGAGTCAGAGAAATCTGCATTCAGGTTTGTGGGAAACCATTTTTTTCTCCAAGAACCATGGCTGTGTGGAAGCTTTGCATTCCATTAACTAAAGGGAATGAACAGGTCATTTTTCTCAGAACAAAGGCCCAAAAGGTGAATTCGAATAGCATACTCTTAGGGCCAGCGGGTGGTGAGGTGGTTAAGGTTTGAGTCCCAGACATGGCAGCTTGCCTCTCTCTTTCTCTCGTGCATGTGCCCTATAGCAAATTAAATAATAACAAATAAATCATTTTTTTAAAAATCCAACTCTTCCAGGGAAGAACCATGTGAAAAATTACTACCTATTATTGTGAAATGCTATTATATGTTTTTAAGTCAGAAAATTATTACGAAAAAAAAAAACATGGCCCTATACTCCCACCCTGCTAACATGTTCTCTATATATGTATATAACAGAAAATTGATACACACACAGGCTCTGACAATTATAATAATATAAACATATTATCAAGTAGAAGTCCCCACCCTCTTCCCCAGCCAAGGATTCTCACTGTTTGTCTATACCCTACATGAAAGGCCCCAGCCATGAGGACAAGTAGGGGCTAAAGTCCACCCTTTTCCTGTTTGCCCTGCATCCCAGCACTGGACAGTCTCCACCCAGAGAAAAGGGCTCCTGTTTCCGACTTGGACAAATACACTTTATTGGCTCTGAAAGTCACTTTTTTTTGTTTGTTTTAGATTTTTGCCATATGGTAAGTACACTTTGCTTGAGACACACAGAGAGGGAAAGTGAGAAATCACCTTCCTGGGGGAATGGGCATGCCACAGTCCCTTCTCCTCCATTGAACTCTGAGATCTGGGGCATGCATGCACACACGGCCTGTGTGATTTCTGGTACTCAAACCACGGAATGTGGGATCCAGTGCTTTAACCATGTCCTCTGCTGGCCCCTGAAAGCAGCCTTTTAACAACGTCTTACACATCTTTCTAAGAAGTTATGCACATTAGGGCCAGCAGGTGGCCTAGTGGCTAAGGTGCTGGACTCCCACGTGGTCAACTGCAGTTCGAGTCCCAGACCCTGCAACTCGCAACTCATGCTGGGTGCATGTGCATGTGTGCCCAAAATCCTGAGAGGAGAAAGGATTGAGGCATGGCCATCCCCTTTGGGGTATGATTTCTCACTTTCTGTTTCTCTGTCTCTGCATCGCTCCAGCAAATGCACATGCCCTATAGCAAAAACTCTCTCTCAATGGGGCCAGCAGGTGGCATAGTAATTAAGGGAGCTGGACTCCCACATGGCCAACCGTGGTTCAAGTCCTGGACCTGGTAGCTTTCTTTCTCACTTTCCTCTCTCTCCCTCTCTCTCCTCTGTCCCTCTCTAGTCAAATTAAAATACATAAATAAAATAAATAAAGTTCAATAAAATAACTCTTTTGAAAAAA